GTAAAATAGTGGCTAAATAGGAGAGCAATAATATTACTCCTGTGGGATGTTTTATTATTTAATTCTATTTAAATAGGAATTAATTTTATTCCATATTAATTAATTTAATTAGAAAAATATTATTCCTAATAGAATCTTCTCTAGGGATTACGAGACTTTGGAGTCTTCTAGAAGATGAAGATTAGTAGGAGATATATTTCCTACATTAGATTATTAATTGAAGTAGAATTAGGTTTCCTAAATTAGGAATTAATTTTATTCCATGATTATTAATTTAATTAGGAAAGGTATTCCTACTAGAATCTTCTCTAGTGTTAGGAGACTAAGGAGTCTTCTAGAAGAGTTAGATTATTAGGAGATCTCTTTTTTACATTGAACTAGTATTGGAGTAGAATTTGAATTTCTTTGCCTAATGGGACAAGCCCATATTTAGCACCTCCTTAAGGTCCCTAATGGAGCCTACAAATACGCCAAGTCGCAACCTCTTGTTCATGATTATGCTGGCCGAATTTTTCATCCAACATACGTGAGAAATAACATTGTCGAGAGTTAGGGAGATTCGATTAAATGCCCCACCAATTTTGATCGAAGTAGGTGTTTAGGTAATCCGTTAGAAGGCTTTTTGGTACAATATACTTGAGCCTTTTATTCCATATTTTCCGGTCATCTTCTCCATCTCATCTCCGTCGTCCGCCGCCGTGAGCCAGCGCCGGAAGTCGCCCATTGCTGCCGGTAATCGCCCGAGCCCAGCCGAGCGCAGCCACTCACTACCGCAAGCAGCCGCGCATTGCCAGGCCCTGCCAGCGATGCCTTGCGATGACCGCAAGCACGCGTGAAGAAGCCCGTCCTCGCCAGCTTGTTCGCGCATGGTCTCTCTGCTCGTTGTCACCGATCGCGCAAGTCCCAACGCGCCTATGTCAGGCGCACGCTATTCCTTGTGCGTCCAGGAGTCGCGCACAACACGCCCGCGTGCGTCCAGCGCATCCCAGCACTAGTCCGCGTAGGCGTAGGAGTCCCTTCCGCGTGCACGCACTCGCCCAGCAGTCGCCAGCGCCTGACCGCGTATCCCTGCTGCCCGCGCATCACGCCAGTGCCCAACGTGCACCTGCTGCCATCCGCGAACGACGCCCGCGACCGCCCGCTGCAACCGATGCCGAGAGCTGGTTTCCGAGTGATCAAGCTTTGTTGGAACTATCGATTAAAGGCCAAATCTATCTGCCCATTAGATTGTGGTGTTCAAACAAACTATATCAATGGTACTCTACATCGTCTCAGAGTCGGCAAAAAAATTTAAAAGGTAAACGTCCATATCCTAACTATAGATTCCGCTGTGTTAGGATTTATTTCGATAAGTTTAATATTGTGCATGTTGTTTGACGTTCCTCACAGAACCCAACAACTGGTATCAGGGCCCATGTTTAATTCAACCTCGTGCACAGTTTGACTTTGGACTTTGCCTGTCTACATGAATTATGTGCCGATGGATGCAGCGACATAGTAGATTAGAAATTGCAATAAGTTTTTTGCAGGTGATGATGAACCCGACTATTGTGGCCCGTATGTATGGTTTTAATTCATGTTGAATGTATGCTGTTTTTAAAGTCTCGGACATGTCGAGGAATTTTTGGGTTGGTGAATGCTTGTAATAAATTATTCGCGCGGTGGGACACCACATAGTTTATTGCTTTCATAGAAACTCATATACCGCTCCTGCGTGGGTCATAGGATGAATTATGTAATTGTTGTTTATATTATTCATTATTGATCCGACAGACATGGACCAACCTTGACGGGGCGAGGCGATAAACGCGTACACGGACGCCATGGTGATGATCCAATGGCGACTTTCCTGGAGACGACCAATTCAGTGGGAGTCACTGCGAAAGGGGAGATCCAATACCTGAATAGGAGGACACACTCAACAAGGACAAGATTGTGTTTTCTCCGTAACATTGGAGATTGACTAATGGCCATGATAGTTGGATTATAATTCCTAGTTTATTATTGCTCATTAATCATGCATGTTTTATGTGATTGCTTATGTGCAAAATCAAACAAGTTTTAGAAAATCCCGTAAAATAAAATTATATTAAGTGTGTAATGGGTTGAAATAAATTACTTCCAAGACCTCCATTATAGGTTTTTCAGTGAAGTGATATAATTCGAGCCCAAAGGACGTTTTATTTTACAGTTCACAAGGACGAATCTCCTTCGGGATGGTTATAACAAGTGAGCTATTTCAAAAGAGTACGGGTCACCCCAAAGGTGGACGTATAATTTTGATAGTAAACTTAGTACCAATTAATGGGTTACACTTAAAGTGCAAATAATTACGATAGTCCCAAATAATAAGGTCGTTTTTATTCTTTTATAAGTTAATTGAGCTGGCCAAAAGATGAAACTGACTATTAGTAAAGTATTGCTCGGCAGTATGTTAAGCTAATGGGACTTATCCCTCCTCTTGTGAATGTTTGAACCGTAGACGTCCACACTCCGTGGCCTGCAGGGATTCGGTGTTTTGAGGTGTTGGTGAATTTATTTGAATATTGTTAAATGGGATCAATATTTGACGTTTAAATTTAAAACTACTTGACTGAGTAAAGACTATGTTTGCATGATCCCAGGAATTCAAAATGTCTTTCAATCCGTTGTCCGTAATTCTCAAAGAAAACAAACTTATTGGTCCCAATTATATTGACTGGAAAAGGAACTTTGATATTTTGTTAACTGCTGATGGGTAAAAGTTTACTACTGTTGAGGCTTGTCCGGCTGTGCCTACTGACAATGCACCAGACCAAGAGAAAGAGGAGTATGCTCGGTGGAAAAAGACTGAAAAGATGGAAAAGTGTTAATCTTGGCATCTTTGTCAAATGTACTTCAACATCACCAGTCTATGATCACTGCAGCAGAAATGCTTCTCAATCTCAAGGAGTTATTTGGTCATCAGTCGCGGGCTGCCCGACAAGAGGTCATGAGGGTTCTGATGAACATTACCATGCGTGAGGGCACTCCCGTAAGGGAACATGTTCTTGCTATGATGGCCCAGTTGAACGAGCTGGAGGTTCTTGGGGCTTTTATTGACAGGGAAACCCAGGTCGATATAGTGCTCCAGTCTTTGCCGAAGAGCTTCGAGTAATTCCGATAGAATTAAACCATGAATAAGATGTTGATGACTCTTCCAGAACTTGTCTCTGAACTTCAGTCGGCAGAGGGCCTATTTCGTCAGAAGAACCAAGCTATGGTGGCCCAGCGGGGAGAAGCTTCCACTTCTAAGGCTCCTAAGGGCAAGAAGAGGAAGAAGTCCGCAAGAAAGGGCAAAGCGGTCGCGAATGACGCGCAACCTCAACAGAAGGTGAAAAAGCCGAAAGGCAAGTGCCACAAATGCCAGCAGAAAGGACACTGGAAGGCAGACTACCCTCTCCTCAAGAAGTTCGACAAAGGTATATCTTTTTCTTTAGTCGTTGGAACATGTTTAGCGGTGTTATCTACCAGTACCTGGTGTACAGATACAGGAGCCAGTTGTTGATGTCTAAAAATGACCAACAATGTGTTCGAACTGTACACTAGGATGTGTACTCTGTTCGGTCTGCACGAATAGAGTTTGTGTATGTGATCCAGTTTTATTCTGATGGTCCGAATGCTCAGTCTATCCATGACTTATTAGGTAGTTAATGAGAGCATTTACTCATTGCATTAAATGATGTCCTCCCCTCCCTTTTATAGGAAGTTTTTGGGACTTTACATTTCCCTCTTGGGGATTTTTACATTTCCTTTTTGCAGGATATTTTTAGATATTAGTCATTCCGTATTTAATGCTAATTGTACTTGGTGATCTTTTCCCAATTTCTGAGAGTCGTCCGGATCGTGCCACGCGTCCCTATTTTTCCTTTGCCGTCGGATAAGAGATTTTCCTGTATCTCCGCATTTAATGCGCGCAGTACGGCTGGCTCTTGTAATGATTAAACAGATCTCGCTTATTCTTTCCCGTCCGTTCGGCAACGGTACGACCCCGGGGGCATCCGGTTCCCTTTCTTTTCCTACTGCTATCCGTTCGGTCTGTACCACCAACAAAGGCCCCCTGATTCGGGCATCACGTTAGGTGTCGTATCCGGTCGTAATGCCCGGATCTGCATATTCTTGATAAACCGAACGTCTCTGCCTCCTTCTCTTCTGCCGACCGGTCGTCTTCCGATCCCAGCAGGCGCGTATCTTCAGTGACGGTTACGTCTTCCCAAAAGGCGCGTCCCCTTCTTCGACGGTTTCCAGAGTAACTTCTATTTCACACGTGTCGCCTTTTTATTGGGGAACCCCTGTATTTATGGCGTATGCGAATCGCTTCGTCTGACACGTTGTATCGTACATTAATCATTGTGTCTCTTCATTCTCTATTTGGACAGTATAAATATGTCTTCTCCCCTTTCGAAAATACTCACACTATTTTCCTCATTCAAAATTACTCTTACTTCTCTCTGTTCTCCGAACCGATCGACTCGTGTATCCGTTCGACTTTTTTTTTCCTGTGGTCTAATTTCCACTGGAAGGTAATTTTCTTCTCTTCTCCTCCTTATTTCTCCTGTCTGATAGTCGATATGAGTGCCGAGGCTTCATCTACGTCCAAAAGTTACAACGAGGAGCAGTACGAGGAAGCCCTTCAAGGTGACACGACAGGGAGGATTAGGCTCCCACTCCAAACAGAGAGTCCGGATGAAGATCACCGGATAGAACAAGCAGTCGTGTCTGTTCCAAGCGGATACTGGCGTCGTCCGTACCGCGAATGGCCGTCGACGAGCGTTTTCGGACTGGCTCACATCCCCAGCGACATGATGGACGATAAGGTGGTCAAGATCCGAACATCCATCCGGCTCCCTCGTGACATCAAAATGTTTGCGCCCTACAGTCGGGAACGAGTTCACTGTCTTCCACCCGGTTATGTCGGGGTGTTCGAGCGTTCGATTGCTTTCGGGGTCCGTTTCCTACTCCCTCGTATCCTGACCGAATACCTAAGAGACTGGGGGGTCGGTTTTAGCCAGATTTCTCCGATCGCCTGGCTGAAAATCATTAGCCTGCTCGTATTGTTCAGTCAACAAGGTTGGGAGATGCCGACACCGGATGACATCCGCGTGCTGTTCCTGATGAAAGAAACGAGAAAGAAATCCGGACAGTTCTCTATATCTGTTCGGGATCTGAGATTTAGGGATTTGATCACCAAAGTCCCGGAGACGATCAGCAAATTCAAATCTTCATGGTTTTGGGTCGGACGCAGCTGGCAGACACGGAAGTCTTCGGACGATCTGGGAGCTTCTGAATTTTTAACCGTTCCGACGAGATTCGTTGCAAAGATTTGTGAGTTTATGCTTTCTTTTTCTCGTTTGTCTCTCCTAATTTTTGGTTATTTCTGTCCGAC